AGCCTTAGAGCCTAGTGAGGGCCCGTGATCCGCGATGTCCGGCATCGCACGGCCCAGCTCTTGGGCGGCTTAAGGTTCCAAGGTTTAGGGTTTAGGGTTTAGGGTTTAGGGTTTAGGGTTTAGGGTTTAGGGTTTAGGGTTTAGGGTTTAGGGTTTAGGGTTTAGGGATACTTGGGATTGAAGGGTTCGGGGTATGTGGTTTTGGGCTCAGGCTTGAGGGCTTCAGGGGCTTGTGTCTACCCAGGCTGTAAGGTGGTAGGGCTTTTTGAGGTTGTCAGGCACTCGACACGCTTTCGGGGCTAGGGTTTAAGGGTTAAGGGTTCAGGGTTTAGGGTGTTCAGGGTTCAGGGTTCAGGTCCTGAAGTCCTGAACCTAAACCTGACTGCTGTCCTCCTGTTCACTGCGTCTGCGCGGGCAGCACTTCGCCCTCATGTTCGCAAAGGTCAGGATCTCGGCAGGAACGAGGAAGTATCACACAAACCACGGGGAGTGAGCGAGCATACAACGTCTGTGCAACGCACAGATGTAAATCTCTCTGATTGCATATATATATATATATATATGTGTCTTGGTACTGCCTGCAAAGAAGCGTTATGAGCTTGAACATACGCACATATTTTTCTACGTTTATAGAGATGGATACTGGTATGGATATGGGTATGGATGTAGATACAGCAAAGAAAGAAAATGCATGGGCAGCGCATACCTACCAGTCCTTAACCAATTCTCGCTGTTGGGATACCTAGGAATCCTAACCTCGAAAGCTCCCCGCATGTATGTAAACCCAAAAAGTAAGTATAAACATGCGTACACATACATACATACGTACATACATACATACATGCATACATACAAACCCTGTCAGTCTAAGGGGGCACATGCCAACCCTAAACCCTGAACTCTAAGCCCCTCACTCTAAACCCCAAACCCAAAACCCCAAACCCTAAACCCTAATAAGTTTCAGGGATCCCGCTCTTCAACTCTGAGTACGGTTAGGTTTAGGGTTCAAGAATCAGGATTCAGGATTTGGTATGCATGTATGTCTAGGGTTGAGGGTTTAGGGTAGGGATTAATCACATCTGCCTTGTATTAAACGTACACCTAGCTATAAAAACACTTTCCGGAAAATCCTGCCGAAACCGACCCCGCCTTTTAAGCCCTATTCCGAATTTGGGGGGGGGAGGGGTTGGGGCCCCAAAAAGCTTCAAGCCAATCTAAACCCTATCCCAAAAGGTGGCATATGGACAAGAACACCTAATATTGAAAACACGTTTCGAGTTTCTATTGCAGGGGGGGGGGGGGTGGGGCGGGGTGAGGCGGCGCCCGTTTAAAAATGGGGGGCCCCTATTATAACCCCTATCAAGGACTGTTAGAAAAAGGTGTAACATCCCAAGTTTAGGGTTTCTAGCTCAGGTGGAGGCCCCGATGTCGGAGAGATAGCAGACGATCACCTGGGACGGTTCGAGAATCCCCAAACTCTAAATCCTAAACCGTGGCTAAAACGGCTGAAGGGGCTGTGCCTCGAGGTCTGTGTTGTATGGTTTGGGACGGCGAGCTCTATAAGTAGGGTGATGGTCTTGGGAGGGTTCAGGGTTTAGGGTTTAGGGTAAAGAGGATTCAAGGGGGGTATGTAACCCAAGGTTCCCTAATACTCCCCACTACTCCCGAAGGCGCTCAAGGCTTCCCCAAGGTTCCCCAGGTACCTACCCCCCATGAATCCATGAACCCCCCTCGCTTAAGAACTCTGCAGTAAGAACCCCCCTCCCCAACCCACCTAAGCTCGCATCCACAGCTACAACTATCAATGACCACTATTTGCTTAAGATCCCACCCGAAAAAACATGTATTACAAACACACTTCCTTTAGAAAGGCAAGACAGGGATCATTATCTTTCATTTTTGGTGGGTTCTTAAGCAACTAGTAGATGTAGTATGAGCTTCCATGTAAAGCAGCAAGTCTCCTAAGGGTGTGGGGTTCGAGGGCCTAGAGCCGTGAATTCTCAAAGAGGGCTCCCAGCTGTCAGCGGAGCCTCGGTATCCCTAAACCCTAAACCCTAAACCCTAAACCCTAAACCCTAAACCCTAAACCCTAAACCCTAAACCCTAAACGGGCGAATAATAATATTGTGTACGAAATAAACGAAGTGCATGAGCGATTGAATTTAATAAAGGTATAAATGCTGTAATATTATAAGGATACGATATTATATTATTATTGTTCTCCCTTTGCACAAATTATATTGTATTTGCATTTTCTATCTACATTCTTTCATTGCCTTCCTCATTTTATTTCTCTCATCTTCTCAGAGAATGAAACGACTATGATTATTGTAGTGGTCCTTTAATCCTATTGTCCGGGGCTGCGATCGCTAAATCCTTGTTGACCGGGCGACGCAAACCCTAAATCTCAAACCCTTCATGGGGTCACTGGTACTGTAGGCGTCGGTCTTGGACTAGGCCGCAGGAGATTGCTTTGTCAACCCTTTCAGGACGACACGAGGTCTTCCAGAAGTGATTTGACCTCCTTACTTTGGGATGTTCCCCCTTATACTAACAGTCCTTGATAGGGAGTATAGTACTTTATCATCCCTATTAGGGACTGTTAGCATAAGGGGGAGCATCCCGATCCTTACTATGAGCTCTGTTAGTTCAAATACCAAACTCCGCTCAATACCTGACTGTGGACTCCACCCTCACCAAAAGATAAAGGCACTTTCCCGGGAAATCTTCCTCTTCCCCCCACCCCCCCACCCCCCCCGCCCCCCACAAAAAAAAAGAGCTTGTCCTATTTACACCCCATCCCTTAAACCCTACACATTCCCCAAACCCTAAAACCCCACAACTCGGCGAGCGCAATCGCTCCCCTGACAGTCGGAGTTAGCTAATCCCCTATAGGTTTCCCAAAGAGTAGATGTACCTTAAAGTAAATTCTTGGACCCCAACATACCTATATATCAAGTACTTCAATGGCCCAAGTATCCCCGATTTAGGTACATGGACCCTAAACCCTAAACCCTAAACCCTAAACCCTAAATCCTAAACCCTAAACCCTAAACCCTAAACCCTAAACCCTAAACCCTAAACCCTAAACCCTAAACCCTAAACCCTAAACCCTAAACCCTAAACCCTAAACGTTCGGGGCTTCAGTAGGAGTTGGCTAAGCCGGGGCGCGAAGACGGGGAAGTAGAGGAAGGTGCACGCCCCCTCCCAGAGCTCGATCCTGAACGCGCGTTGGGGTTTAGGGTTTAGGGGGTGGGATTCAGCTTTGCTTTACAGAGCCCAGCCTAAGCCCTAAAGAATACCCCCCCCCCCCCCTCCCTTCTCCCGCCCCCCCCCCAACCCCCCCCCCCAACCTGCCGATTTTGTTTCGGGGTCTACCTGGTACAATGGTGTGATCCAGTCCGGGATCTCGATGAAACCTACATGAGCTCCTTGTCTAACCAAAAGCTCCTTGTCTAACCAAAATTAAAAAGGAAAATACATCAATGCAAACAAATACAAGCTCTGGTTATGCTGAGGGGGATGCTGGGGTTTTAGGGTTGGGGAGCTTCAGGATGTATTAGCATCGTAAAATTGGGATCCGTTTTACAGATCCTAAAGGTAACATGAGGGCCAGAATTCTTGGGATTATACTAGGTGAACCCCATTGGGAGTATATTAGGTGAACCCTTAGGCGCTACCACCTTGGGAGTACGAGTCTTAGCCCCTTGACGGAACGGGGGTGCGGAGGGGGCTGATTCTAAGTCCGCGTGGCTCATCGATGGAGCTCACCACGCAGATAAACAGCAGCCACACGTACCTGGGAAGGGGTTTGGGGTTTTGGGGTTCTATGGTTTAGGGTTTCGGGTTCAGGGTTTAGGGTTTTGGGCTTTGGGTTTAGGGTTTAGGGTTTAGGGTTTAGGGTTCAGGGTTTAGGGTGTAGGTGTAGTGTTAGTCGGTGTGTTTGCTATTGGAGCGACTGGCATTCACAATTTTCTGCCTTGTTGGGCATCATGACGTAGGTCACTACGACCAAAGCCCTAAACCCAAAATCCCTAAACCTAAACCCCTAAAGTCCCCTACACCCCTTAAACCCCCTAAACCCCAGCTGGGCACCGGGCAACAAGTCAGGATTCGGTATAAGCCTGTAGAGCCCTGGACCCTCAAACCTTAAGTGCGAGAGGAGGGTTGAGGGGAATGGGTTTGGGGGCTTAGGCTTTAGGGGTTTAAAGCCCAAAACCAAACCCAAAAATCTCTAACCTCCGAAACACAAGCCCTCGTGCCCGAAAAACCCGGCGAATAGGCCAAGCCCTAAACCCTAAACCCTAAACCCTAAACCCTAAACCCCAAACCCTAAACCCTAAATCCTAAACCCTAAACCCTAAACCCCAAACCCTAAACCCCAAACCCTAAACCCCAAACCCTTGGAGTCATGAAGCTCGCAACCCAAGACTTTCAGGTGTACTTCCGCAACTCCTGAAACCCCGGCACTACGTACTATGGAGAGCTAAGCCCTACCCTTAAACCCTACATCCTCAACCCTGGACCCTGCACCCTAAACCCTAAACCCTAGACCCTAGCCCCCTAAGGCGTCAACACAGCACGCATTTCCGAGCGAGGCTCTCTTAGACTGCAGGGAGCCTGAATTTCACAGGGAAAGTTTCGGGTGAAGGGTGTGAGAGTGCCCTAAACCCGAGACCCTAAACCCTAAACCCTAAACCCTAACCCCTAAACCCTAAACCCTGAACCCTGAACCCTAAACGTCCAGATTCAGGGTTGTTTAGGGTTTAGGCTTTAACGAGCCTGCACCTCTTTAGGGGAAGTCCAGGGGCGGTTTAGGGTTTAGGGTTTAAGTTTTAGGGTTTGCTGAGTCTTGTGGCTTCGTACGTATAGTCTAAGGGACTAGACAACATCACGGTTTATGGTTTAGGGTGCGTGGCTCCGGGCTTAGGGCGTCGGCTTTTGGGTTTTTGGTTCGTGTAGAACCGACCAATCCAGCACCCTGCGCTACGGCCTCTCGCTCAGCAGCGATGAAGCGACCGGGCAGGCAGCGAAGCGGGTTTGCGTGCAAGATCGGGAACCCAGATTCCGACCCCCTCGCCCTCACGTGTCAGTTGAGCCACTTTCACGCGCTCCAACTTCCCGCTGGACTCATCGACGATCCCTACAACATCGTCCAGACGCTCTTGGAAAAGTTGCTCCGGCGTGCGCTCGCCAATGACCAACGTGCGCGTGCCGCCGTGGGAGAAAAGCAGGGGGACTTGGCACATCGCCCACTCGAAGCACTGCTGCTGACACTCAGTTCCTTACTTCTCCATTAAACTTCAGGAATAGAAAAACAAGAAAAAACAAACCTTTATGGTTCCTGTTAACTCAATAAGGAAGCCGCAAAAAAACTAAAGTTCAACCCCTAAAACCCAAACCCCTAATTTATGGCCCTAAAGGCCCTGAAGGCCCTAAAGGCTGAGTAAGCTTCGGGGAAGCTGAAACAAGGACACGTAGTCGATGAAGTACCACGACTGCAGAGCACGAGGTTCGGCCACGAGTCGCTCCAGCTGGAAGCGGCAGGGGTCTGGATGCTCCTTAGGGTTTAAGGTTTAGGGTTTACGATTTAGGGCTGAGGGTTTATAGGGTTTAGAGTACCTGGATGCTCCTTATGAAGACCAAAGTAACACTTTGGGACTGCATACCCGACAATACTACAACCCTTAAGATAAAGATCTGTATACATATATATATATATATGTTATTTATTTATTTATGTATTTTTTTACTGAAATTTATTTATATACAGAAATAAACAAATCAATAAATGAACACATAAATAAACAAAGAAAGAAAGAAGCAAATACGTATACATATACATATATATGTATATATATATATGTATATATCCGCATGGACCCCTTCCAGGCTTCATTTCGTCCCCAAGGTTCGCATGATTCCCAGCAGTGGCTGACGCAGACGATGTCGATCTGCCTCTCTGCCATGGGACAGGCCGCCTCCTGCTGAACCTGGGTTTCGGGCTTTAAAGGGTTTAGGGTTTAGGGTTTAGGGTTTAGGGTTTAGGGCCTTTTGCTGAACCTGCGTCCCGGTAAGAGGGTTTCGGGTTTCAGAGGGTTCAGGGTTTAGGGTTTAGAGTTTTGGGTTTTTAGGGTTTAGAGGGGAGGGTTTTGGGTTGGGGGGGGTTTGGGGCTTGGGGTTTGTGGTTGAAGGTTCAGGCTTTAGAGTTTGGGGATGGGGGATTTAGAGTTTGGGATTTGGGGTTGAACCTAGGAACAAGGGGTCATTGTTGCAGAGGTGGCTTATCACAGCGAACCTACTCCCCACCCCTCTCCTCACCCCGCCCAAAAACGCAGCTAAACCCTAAACCCTAAACCCTAAACCCTAAACCCTAAACCCTAAACCCTAAACCCTAAACCCTCAAAAACACCAAGCAGCTTCGGGCAACGAGACGAGCGCCGGGCGTCCAGACAGCGTGAAGGCATTTTCGGCCTCCTGTCTCCGTGGCAGCGCCGCTCCTGGAATTACGTTTTAGAGATTGAGGGTTTAGGGGTTTAGGGTTTAGGGCCAGGGGTTAAAGAGCTCCTGGTCGAGCAGTTTCTCGTTTAGGCTCGTCGTTTAGAACATCGAAAAATATCCACCCACCCGGAGTTCCCATAACATTAAGAAATGACACAGTTTTTTCTTAGTCTTATTATTAGGATGGCCCAACAACGAAACTAATGACCACCACTGGACAAATGAGAAGGTGGAAATCCTAAACCATAGAGCGAAAAGCCCCAAACCGATGGTCTTGGGTGTTTTGGGATTTTGGAGGGAGGGAAGTTTTGGGCCTATGCCCGGGTTTTTGGGCCTTGACCACGAGTTTTTGGGCCTTGCCCACGAGTTTTTGGGCCTTGCCCACGAACCAAAGGCCCAAAAACTCGTGGGCACAGGCCCAAAAAAGTGGGCAAGGCCCACAAATTCGTGGGAGTTTTTTTTGCCTTGCACACGAAAAAATGGGCCTTGCCCATCAATACCATTAAGGCTTATTATTTTCTCTTAAGATACCTTCTTCATCTGGACCCATTTTCCTCAACATCCCTGAAACAAACGGGCTGTAGAGCCCTTAGCCCTAAACCCTACGTTTCAGAGTTCGAGCGATTCTGGCGTTAAGTAGCTTCAGGCTTTGGATGGGCAATTTCATACGTCGTGCCCGGTCAAGGTTTAGTGTTTAGGGTTTTAGATCCAGAGTTTAAAGCTATACCGAGGAAAACCATCATCCTGAGGTAAGGGCCCAAACCCACAACCCCAAAACGATCACTGATAAAAGACATCCAAGGCTCCCTCCCTCGCCAGGTCTTGCAGAAACTCGCCCCTCACCAGGCGGATATCACCGTCTAAGAGCACCTGCACCAGTTCACCTGGCTTCTTGGCTTGGCTTCGGGCGGCAGGTTTGCACCCTAAACCCTAGGCCGTAGACCTCTATACCCTAAACCCCAAACCCCAAACCCCAAACCCTAAACCCTAAACCCTAAACCCGAATTGAAACCCGAAACCCTAAACCCTAAACCCTAAACTACTAAACACCCAACCTGGCTCCGTGGATCCCACGCGCCACGGCTCTTCGTGCAGGTAGAGAGCAGGGCGCGCTTGGTCAAAAGTTACCTGTGCACTACTGACAGGGTTTAAGGTTTAGGGTTTCGGGTTTAGGGTTTAGGATTTAGGGTTTAGGGTGTAGGGTGTAGGGTTTAGGGCTTCGGGTTGAGTAACTAGAGTTTAGGGCGTGCTGTAATATGGCGCAGAAGCTGTGAAGGTTAGGATTGCAGACTAGGCTCGAAGGCTTCAGAAATGCGCCATGGCCCGATTGTGGTCTAACATTTTCATCCCACTCGACCGTTTCAGGCCTGAACTCAATTGTTTTCAGGGTTTTCCCCGGAAACTTTTAAGACTAACAGCCGAGGTCCCAAGGAGAGTCCCCGGGGTCCAAGCCAGACAATTCAGGGGCCCTAAACCCTAAACCTAAACCCTAAACCCTAAACCCTAAACCCCCAAAACCCATTCCCAGAAGTGAGGAGGCCAGGCGTTGCGGGGACATTGCAGGGGGGGGGGGGGGGTACCCTAAACCCTAAACCCTAAACCCTAAACCCCAAACCTAAACCCTAAACCCTAAACCCTAAGCCCTAAACCCTAAACCCTAAACCCCAAACCTAAACCCTAAACCCTAAACCCTAAACCCCAAACCCTAAACCCTAAACCCTAAAACCTAAACCCTAAACCCTAAAAACCCTAAACCCCCAAAACCCCCCAAAACCCCCAAAACCCCCAAAACCCCCAAAACCCCCAAAACCCCCAAAACCCTAAACCCTAAACCCTAAACCTAAACCCTAAACCCTAAACCCTAAACCCTAAACCCTAAACCCTAAAAACCCTAAACCCTAAAAACCTTAAGCCCCCAAAACCCCCAAAACCCCCAAAACCCCCAAAACCCCAAAACCCTAAACCCTAAACCCTACACCCTAAACCCTATACCAAAACCCCTAGACGTAGCCCAGCAGCAGAGAGGCAAATGCTGCCAGCCCTGGCATGCTGCAGCACCCGCGCGCGCTGCCACTCGCAGCGCGCGATGTCGAAATACTCCGCCTCGTCGCCTGGACAGGGTTGTAGGGTTTAGGGTTTAGGGTTTAGGGTTTAGGGTTTAGGGTTTAGGGTTTAGGGTTTAGGGTTCTATGTATGAGGGTTCCAGCGTTTTGGGGTTTTGGCTTCTAGGTTTTTTATGGGCTGAGGGCTCTAATTAGGGTTTTAGGTCTCTGGCCTTTAGGGTTTAGGGTTTAGGGTTTAGGGTTTAGAGTGTAGGGATTAGGGTTTAGGGTTCTATAGGGTCTTGGGGGCTTAGGGTTCTGGAGTTTTAGGGTTAGGGCTTCTCAGGTTTTGGGGGTTGGGGCTTGAGGGGTTTTAGGGTTGCGCTCTTGGTTTTAGGATTTTGCGGTTCTACCGTGTAGGTGTTGGGATTAGGGCTACGAGGCTTCGGGGGTTGGGGTTTTGAGGGTTTTGGGGGGTCTCGCGCTCTTGATTATAGGATTTCGCGGTTCTAGGTTTTGCGGCGTTTTTTGAACCCTGAACCCTAAACCCTAAACCCTAAACCCTAAAGCCCTAAACCCTAAACCCTAAACTCGGGCCCGGAGAAAGGGCCAGCAGAAGTCGTCCAGCCTGGTCCCAATTCTTGCACCAAAAGTGCATTGAAGCGGTGCTTGTCCTTGCGTTTGGGTCTGGGGTTTTGGGGTTAGGCTTCAAGGCTTGAGGTGTAGGGTTTAAGGTTCAGAGTTTGGGTTGAGGCTTGCGGTTTTGCGTCTACTTAAGGTCATGAGAGTTTGGGGTTTAGGGTTTGCCAGCGTATCTCCTAAGGTGCTTGGCATGGTTTCGGGTTTAGGGTTTAGGGTTTAGGGTTTTGGGTTTTGGGTGTTGGGTTGTGGGTTTAGGGCTTTAGGGTTTAGGGTTTAGGGTTTAGGGCTTTAGGCTTTAGGGCTTAGGGCTTAGGGTTTAGGGTTTAGGGTGTAGGCATGACAGAGGGCTTTGGTGCAAGCACTTTGGCAACAAAAATCAGCTCTCACTCCCCCCCCCCCCCCCCCCCCCCCCCCCTGGCCCCTTTCTCAAAGCACCCAAGCGTCAAGCAGTCGCAGCTGGCTCACCGGCACGCCTGCCTGCACAAGCCCTAAACCCTAAACCCTAAACCCTAAAACCCTAAACCCTAAAACCCTAAGCCCTAAGCCCTAAGCCCCAAACCCTAAGCCTTAAACCCTAAACCCTAAACCCTAAACCCTAAACCCTAAACCCTAAACCCTAAACCCTAAACCGCCCTGCCTGCACATCAAGGTCAAAGCTTCCATCCGGTGCAATGCCCTCCACCACGGCCGGAGACCAGGCATTCCAGGCATGGCTGAAGTATTCGACGGTATCCCCTGGGCCCAACCTTGGGGGAGGCATGTATGGCCAGGAGACGCAGGTTTAGGGTTGAGGGTTGAGGGTTGAGGGTTGAGGGTTTAGGGTTGAGGGTTTAGGGTTTAGGGTTGCGGTTAGGCTTTGGGTTTAGCCCTAAACCCTAAAAACCTGAAGACCCTAGAAGTGCTTGTAGGCGATACCTAACCCTAATCCTAACCCTGACCCTAACCCTAACCCGCAAACCCTACACCCTACACCCTAAACCCTAAACCCTAAACCCTAAACCCTAAACCCTAAACAACCGAGAGTTCATCTAGTACCCACCCTCACGGGCTTCTTTTCGCACCCGAAGTTTCTAAACCCTAAACCCCTTGTAGGGCTCTCTTAGTACCCTAAACCCTAAACTCTAAACTCTAAACCCTAAACCCTAAACCCTAACCCCTAAACCCCAAGCAGCTCTACCCCTTCCCGGGCTTCAGTTTTCCCCGAACAAGGAGCTGCTGCCAGAGTTTTCCATCCTTCTGCGAGAGTCGGACGTCGCACAGCTGAGCATGGATCTCGCGACCTAGGGAGTTACTGGGAGGGCTTAGGGTTTAGGGTTTAGGGTTTAGGGTTTAGGGTTTAGGGTTTAGGGTTTAGGGTTTAGGGTGTGCGTGCGAGGTCGCGCGCTCGGGCGTGAAACGCCCCGGGCCGCGCGCTCGCGTTGCCTGTAATCCCGCCCCGGCCACCCAAACTATTCTCAATTATAGGGTTTACCCCCAACCCCCCTCAAGGGGGGCGTTCAATTCATTCCAAGGCGCATTCCATTCTACCAACGCGATGCCTTACAGAGGAGAGAGCAACAAAAAAATGTCCCGCTCCACGTGCGGGGGCGTCCCGGGGCACCCCCAGACAAGCCGCCCGGACATATCCGGACACCCCTCAACCCCCGGACGGCCCCGGACCCCCGGACGCCCCGGACACCCAGACCCACGCCAAATTGAGCAACCAGCCTGCCTGGACCCCCTTGGTCCAGGAATCCAGCCACCAGGGGCAAGGGGCCCGGTCCAGCCAGGGGCTTAGGGGGGCCCGGGCAAGCCCTCAAAACCCTAAACCACCCCAACGGCCCGAGGTTTGGGGTTCTACTTTAAACTTTAGTTAACACTAAAGGTGGTCTGGATACGGCCATCCCTTAGGCCGGAAGCAAGGCCAGGGTCGTTGGCCTGTACAGGACGCTTTACCCTCACCTCTCCGCGGCCCCCGATTTTCGTATGGGCGCTCGGGCTTTGAGCCCTCGGCCAAGCCGTTCGGGGTCTGTCGCTCGACGGAAGCGACCCCTCACTAAGTTTAGGGTTTAGGGTTGAGGGTTGAGGGTTGAGGGTTTAGGGTTTAGGGTTTGGCGGGTGGAGGATAAGGTGTAGGGTTTAGGGTGCTTTCGAGTAGGGTAGTTTAGGGTTTAGGGTTTCGGGTTTCCGGTTTAGGGCTTGGGGCTTAGGGCTTTAGGGGGTGAAGGGCTTAGGGTTTCAAGGGGTCGAGGGTTTATGGTCTTAGGGCCTAGGGTCGCAAGGGTGTAAGTAAGATTTAGGGTTGAGGGGTTTTGGGTCGTTTGGTTGAGCTGGGGCGTTCTGGTTGAGGGTTTAGGGCCTACAGGGTTTGGGTTTAGGGCTTGGGCTTTAGGCTTTAGGATTTAGGATTTAGGGTTTAGGGTGTAGGGTTTAGGGTTTAGGGTTTAAGGTTTAGGGTTTCGGGTTTCGGGTTTCGGGTTTAGGGTTTAGGGTTTAGGGTTTAGGGTTTAGGGTTAGGGTTTAGGGTTTAGGGTTTAGGGTTTAGGGTTTAGGGTTTAGGGTTTAGGGTTTAGGGTTTAGGGTTTAGGGTTTAGGGTTTAGGGTTTAGGGTTTAGGGTTTAGGGTTTAGGGTTTAGGGCCGCGACCTGCACAGAAGGGCACCAGGAAGTCGTGCTCTGGTGGCAGCTTGGCCTTAGTCAACTTCAGGGCTCCGAGTATCATGGGCCCCTCTACTGTGGACGTTTAGGGTTTAGGGTCAGGGTTTAGGGTTTAGGGTTCAGGGTTTAGGGTTTAGGGTTTAGGGGTTTAGGGTTTAGGGCACAGGGCAGCAGGTATCCGAACTCTAAGTTCCCCCGGATCTTCCTTCCACAAAAGCCCAGCCGCTCCACTGCGCACCTCGCGCACGGCAGGGACGGCGGTGGAGCAGAACTCGGGGGACGTGCAGCACTGCGCAGGGGAGCAGCACTGTGCCACGCCCATGAGGGCCGCGAGGAGGTTTGGGGCGTAGGGTTTGGGGTTTGGGGTTTAGGGTTTACAGTTTGGGGTTTAGGGTTTAGGGTTTACAGTTTGGGGTTTAGGGTTTAGGGTTTAGGCTTAGGGTTTAGGGTTTGGGGTTTGGGGTTTAGGGTGAGAAGTGGTAGAGTGTGGGGGGGGAGAGCCATCGGGACGAGGGTTAAGGGCTTAAGGCACAAGCAAATACACAAGGACTGCTTGAGTTAAGGGGCTTATGTTCCATAAATCGTGGCAGCGACCATTTCTACGTGTGTTCATCTGGTCCCCACGCCTTGCAAGCTAGTTAAGGTGGTCTGGGGTTTAGGATATAGGGTTCGGTTTAGGGTGTAGGGTGTAGGGGGTAGGGTGTAGGGACAGTCCCTCTGGCTCGAGGCACGAGAGCCCTGAATTGTTGCCTGAACCTGATACGGCTTCTCATCTCAAATCCCTAAGACAGAAGCTTCTCATGATGAGCAGCTTCATCACAACTGTTGCCTGAAATGCGTATTGCCTTCATCAGTTCTCCTTTTTGCCATAGTAACTTCCTTTACCCAACTCATACCTTGACCATTGACCCACAAGCACGAAACTTAGCCCCGTAGCATGATCGTTGACTACCCTCCAGTCTACAAGCGAATTTAGAGTTTATGCATCTTTGGCTTTGGTCTAGGAACCGTAATCCCCATAAACCCTAAACCCTAAACCCTAAACCCTAAACCCTAAACCCTAAACCCTAAACCCTAAACCCTAAACCCTAAACCCTAAACCCTACTATAAGCCATGAGCCTTATTCTGGCAGATCGGCAAGCAGACTTGGGTCTGACCCTAGATCCTTGAGCCTCGGAGCTGCAGCGGGACACTCCAAAGCAACCCCCCCCCCCCCCCCCCAGGATTGTAGAATTCAGGATGTTGGGTTTAGGTTTTGAGAAAAGGTTTAAGGTTTAGGGTTTAGGGTTTAGGGTTTAGGGTTTAGGGTTTAGGGTGTAGGGTTTAGGGTTTAGGGTTTAGGGTTTAAGGTTTAAGGTTTAGGGTTGGGGGTTTTGGGTTTAGGGTTTAAGGATTCAGGATTCGGGGATTTGGAACCCTAAACCTACTCCCTCAAGCCCAAGGAAACCCGGCTCCAGTTACGAAGGGGGCTTTAGGGCTTCCGGGTTTCAGGTATAGGGTTCAAGGTTCTGGGGCTGTAGTTCAGGGAACCAAAGGCCCTACTCCCTAAACCCGCCCGCCACCCTTCGGGTGCTGCGTTACAGGGCTTGGGCTTAGAGATTCGGGCTTCTAGGTCGAACCCCGGGTCTAGGGTTTAGGGTTTAGGGTTTAGGGCTTAGAGTTTAGGGTCTCCTTAAAGGCATCCGGGGGTGCGCGAAGATGGAGAAGAAGGCCGTGATCGCATAGACCCCGCGCTGCTTGATCTGGCGGCTCTCGCCCTGTGTCAGACGGAGGGCGCTTGGGGTTTAGGGTTTAGGGTTTAGGGTTAGGGTTTAGGGTTCAGGGTTTAGGGTTTAGGGTTTAGGGATTGTTTATGGGGGGTTGGGTTTTGGTTGGGTTTTGTTGTGGGTTTTGGGTTTGCGGGGTTGGTTGGCTTTCTCTTTTCTTCTTTTTTTAATTTATATTTTTTTTTTTTTTTTTTTTTTTTTGGGGGGGGGGGGTTGGGCTTTGGGGGTTTAGGGTTGGCGTTAAGATTCATAAGGTTTAGGGTTTGGGGGTGGGGGGGGGGGGGGTTAGGTTTTGGGGTAAAGGGGTCTGGGATTGTTTTGTGCTTTTTCTTGCCGGGGCTTTGGGAACTTGAAGGGATTTCAGGAGTTTATTGGACTTGTCGGGCAGTGGGCGTGGGAAACTCCAAGAAAGAGATACCCCTAGTATGCCCCAAATAGAGTCTAATCCACTTCTGTACGGACCTCGAAACCTAAACCCTAACCCCAAAGCCGAAACGAAACCCTAAACCCTAAATTCTAACAAACTAAGCAATGAACCCCACCCCATGTGGGTATTTGATAAAGCATGGATCTTTCAACAATACTTTTGACCGATATCGAATCCGTATCGATGTAGAACCGTGAGGTATTGCCAACCCGCGGTATCGACATTGAGTCGAACCGAAGCAGACCAGTACCGAAACACATGGGTGGTTGTCAAAATTATGGTCCCTTTATTTTTTGGACCCCTATTAGATACGGCACCTAAAATTTAGGGTACCCCAACAGGGATCACAATTTTGACAACCACCCACATCGGTATCAACATCGAGTCTTATCCAGTCATGGTGGCTTGATGGAGCTTTCAAGTGCCTTTCTTCTTCCGCGATGAGGGCTTTGGTGATTTTGTGTTGGGGCTTCAGGGTTAGGTTTAGGGCCTAGGCTTAGGGTTTAGGCTTAGGGTTGAGGCTTAGGGTTTTGGAGGCTTTAGGTTTTGGAGGGTTTAGGTTTTGGAGGCTTGAGAGTCTTTAGGGTTTCTAGAATTTCGAAGGCGTTGTTCTAATCGTTTTTTGGTGGGTTGCTCTAGTGGCTTTGTGTTTGTGCCTGCTGCGAAACGCATCTGGGACTTTATGGTACTTCGGCCCTAAACCCTAAACCCTGAACCCTGAACCCTAAACCCTAAACCCTGGGGTAGCCGTAATGAGGCAGTGATACCTACCCTGCCTCTAGCCGCCCAACCCTGATGTTTGTGGGGGGGGGGGGGGGGTTTGGGGTCTACTTGGAGGTTCAATTATAGCAACTGCACATAGAAGCCCCCTAAGTCCCCTAAGTCCTCGAAGCAGGTTACAAGTGCCCATACAATTGGGGCTATAAGTACCCATGAACCTCCAGGTAGCGGATCTAAACCCCGAGCTCCCAAGCCCTAACCCCCTAGCCATGAGAGCTTTCTTCCACGGGCGCGCAAGCAATTGTTGATCCTGTTGCCGGTCGCTAGTCCATGCCACCTGAAAGAGAGAAGGCGGAGGGCTGTAGGGGTTAGCTAGGACTAACTCTACCCTAGACCCTAGACCTAAAACCCTAAAACCCTAACCCTGGAACCTGAACCCTAAACCCCAAACCCCAAACCCCAAACCCCAAACCCTAAACCCCAAACCCCAAACCCCAAACCCTAAACCCCAAACCCCAAACCCCAAACCCTAAACCCCAAACCCTAAACCCCAAACCCTAAACCCCCAACCCTAAACCCCAAACCCTAAACCCCAAACCCTAGCTTAAGCTTTCAACCGCCAACATCCGGCATCCCAAGCCCGTAGCACGAGCCCAAACCACAAACCTCCCCCAAACGCATCTGAACTTCGTTGGGCTGCTCCCGCTGCTAGTGGCTTCAGAACCTCCCCCCCCCAAAAAAAAAAAGAAAAAAGCAAAGGATAGTAATCCCTATAGTGTCCTTATAAGGAGGAGTACTTTGTTTTGAATGGGTTTAGGGTTTAGGGTTTAGGGTTCAGGGGGCGAGGATGTAGAGTTTCAGGGATTAGGGGCTGGGGGTTAGGAGGTGTTAGACGGCTCAACTGGCACTTCTCAGCAACCCTGACGTGCAGACAGGTTCTTTCAAACCCCAAGCGCTTGTATTCTGTCTAGGCTGCCCAGTAACCTAGGCTTAAAAAGGGTACCCTTTTTGCTGAAAGGGGTTTATAAGGGAGCCTAAACCCCCCCAAAAAGGGAATAAGGGTACTACTGGGCATCCTAGCTGTAAACCAAACACGTTCCCCACCATGCATGAGCCCTGATCCCTCAAACCCCCTCCGCATATGAGATCCTATGCTACCCCGACCTTGACTTGCCTTAACCCCCCTAAGGCCTAAACCCTAAACCCTAAACCCCAAAAGCCCTAAACCCCAAACCCTCAACCCTGTAATCTCTAAACCCTGAACCCTAAACCCTAAACCCTAAACCCTGAACCCTGAACCCTGAACCCTGAACCCTAAACCTAAGCCCTAAGCCCTAGGATCTCATGATCCACATTCCGGCCGCGCCACTCAACTCGAGAAGCTGCGCCGCGGGCTGCTCGGCACCCTCGGATTCCGCCATGTCCTTGGGCGCTAGGGTTTTTGGGGCTTAGGGTTTAGGGTTTAGGGTTTAGGGTTTAGGGTTTAGGGTTTAGGGTTTAGGGTTTAGGGTTAGGGTTTAAGGTCTCGGGAATTGTGGGTTTCGGGTTTGGGGTTTAGGCTTTAGGGTTAGGGGTTTGGGGTTCGGGTTTTAGAGGCTTCGGTTGCTTTCGGACACAAGGTGTAAGCGGAGTCGAGCCCCTGGAAGCCCTCAAGCCCCAAAGCCACGCAAGAAACACCCAAGACCACCCCAGCCCCAACGAAAAAACCGAAGCCCCCAACCCTAAACCCTAAACCCTAAACCCTAAACCCTAAACCCTAAACCCTAAACCCTAAACCCTAAACCCTAAACCCTAAACCCTAAACCCTAAACCCTAAACACCTAAACCCTAAACCCTAAACCCTAAACCCTGAACCCTGAACCCTGAACCCTGAACCCTGAACCCTGAACCCTCAACCCTAAACCCTAAACCCTAAACCCTAAAACCAGCCCAGCAGCATGGAGGAGCTCGGCGTACTGCGGAGACTCGGAGCCCAACAAGATCGACCTACGGCCCGTGGAGGTTCAGGGTACTTAGTAACCCAATTAGGGTTTAGGGTTTAGGGTTTAGGGTTTAGGGTTTGGGGTTTGGGGTTTAGGGTTTAGGGTTTAGGGTTTAGGGTTTAGGGTTTAGGGTTTAGGGTTTAGGGTGTAGGGTTTAGGGTTTAGGGTTTAGGGTTTAGGGTTTAGGGTTTGGGGCTTGGGGTTTTCGGGTGTTGAGCCAGAAGGCGCTTAAGTACAGCTTAGGGTTTGGGGGTTTTGGTGGCTCAAGGTCTTGAGGTCCAGGGTTTGGGGCTGAAAGGGTTACAAACTTGTAAACTGTAAACCCCCAAACCCCAAACCGAAAACCCCAAACCACCAACCCTCACCTCTAAACCCTCAACCCCAAACCCTCAAACCCAAACCCTCAACCCCAAACCCAACCCCAAGCACCAAACCCAAAACTACCCCGAACCCTAAACCCCAAACCCAAAACCCTGAACCCTAAACCCCAAACCGACTATCCCTCAACCCTAAACCCCGAACCCTAAACCCCAAACCCCAAACCCCAAACCCTAAACCCCAAACCCTAAACCCGAAACCCCAAACCCCAAACCCTAAACCCTAAACCCCAAACCATACACCCTGAACCCTAAACCCTAAACCCTAAGCCCCAAACCCTAAACCCCAAACCCCAAACCCTAAACCCTAAACCCCAAACCCTAAACCCTAAACCCTAAACCCCAAACCCTAAACCCCAAACCCTAAACCCCAAACCCTAAACCCTAAACCCTAAACCCTAAACCCTAAACCCTACACCCCAAACCCTGCTTCTGCCCTGCTGTGCAGCCCCAAAGGCTCGTAGGCTCCCTGCGCCTCGTGGAAGAAGCCGTGGGCCTGAACACAAAGGGTTAAGGGTTTAGGGTTTAGGTTTTAGGGTTTCGGGTTTAGGGTCTGGGGTCTAGGGCTGTGGGGTTGTGGGCTTGGGGTGCAACTTGGGGAGTGTAAAGCCCCAACCAACCCCACAACTCCT